ATTCATCAAGTAGGTAATAATTGCGTATAATAATAATAAAAAAAAATTGTTTAAATAAGATATATTTATTTTTTATTTTTTTTTTTATTTGCCGGTGCTTTTATAATAGGCATTAGAAACTCTTTATTTTAGTTGTATCATTATAGAAGAGTAATACATTATCATTTTATTAACTTTGAAATCTTAATTTTTGAATTTGAAACACGATTCTAATCCAAGTTAAACTTAACCAATAATAACCTTGATTCATTACTGTCTAATTATCTGTACTATATTATTAGTTTATTACCTTTATCGTGATGTTTGTATATATTATAAAAAATCTAAACAAATAGATTAACTTACCTAATGATGTTAAATTACTTATTGTATTCTAGAAAAGTAGTTATTTAAATATTATTTATTAAATTTATTAGCAAATTTGTATTGTATAAATATAGGTAATGGCACTAAGATTTTGATAAAATAAATTTGTTTAAAAGTATAAATATTGAATATTTAAAAGTTTTTTTTATGGAATTTATAATAAAATGTTCCTTTAAGTTTTGTACTTTTTTTTTATGTTATTTGAATGAAGTTGAAAGATTCACTCTCATAAAATTTAATTTCTATATTTCTGAATCGCGTAGGTTTTGTAAACATTTAGATCATGTTTTAAAAGCCATATGTTATAGTGTAAATGGTTGTTATATATGTTGATAATTAGTATTTTTATTTTGGCATACTTCCATACTGTACTGCGACTGTATAAGAGTGCACAGCCACACAGGTATATTAGACATTTACATAATTACTACAACTTATTATTTTGCATTGTATTATAGTATTTAGCTTAAATTTATTCAGCTCCCCAGGTGATACGCGTACACATCGTATAATATTATTATGTGTTGTAAGTACCGTGTTTCTTTCGCTCAAAAACTCGTCCCATTGATATGCATCAATGATGTTTTATTCTTTCCATTTCAATTGGGCGTCACCTTACTAGGTACGTTGTGAGTAATGTGTGATGCGATTTTTATTAAAACGTAATCGTTAGGTATTGCAACAAATCGTTACCGAAATTAAAAATTATATCACATTATGTTTTTACTTTTTGTGTATAACACAAATAAAATGTCTAGACATAGTTAAAATTTAAAAGTGAAGTTTGTTTTCTTTAAATATTCATATACATTTCCATGTAAAACAAACTGTTTTTACTAAAGATTATTTTGTTGTTTAAGTGTAGAAAACTTTTCTAGATATTTCAAAGCATATAATATAGTCTTTTAAATTTATAAGAAATGTTGATTTAAAAATTATTTTGCTCTCAACTTCTGTTGAAAACTTCAATAGATTATATTTCTCAGTTTCTTGATGTTTAAAATGACTTGCTTCTATTGTGATTGATGTTTAATCTTTATTTTCTTAGCTTGTTCAAACTATATACATTACAGTACGTCAGTAGTCAGTACTATGCGACTATGCTATATACCTATATAATGGTGTAGATACCATTATACCTAATAAAAAAAACATCATGGTCCAACGATATATAATAATGTTACGCTTACACGGTTCGTTGTTAGGGACATTCCAAGGTCTTCTTGAGAAGTTTGGGGTCGGCTATAGCCGTGTTTAATACAAAGACCTAACATAAAACAATACCTCTGCTATTTATTTTTATCCACCTGTATAATATAATCTATAAAAATAATTATAATTATAATTATAATTTTTCAAATAAAAATGTAATTCTTACCTATAAGAAAAAAAATCAATTAACTCATATTAGCCTAATGCAATTACAAGCGAAATTGGTATTCATAATATTTATAAATTTTAAGTACTTAATATTAGAACGACCAAGTCATAACAAGTTGGTCATTTTTATTTTAAATATTAGTAACTTAATAGGTTATCGAACATTGGTTAAAATAAAGTTTGATTATTCTATCGATTATTATTTAGTCATCATACACAAATTAACAAAAATATTTTTAAGATTATAAGTGAAAATGTTGAATTCCGAAAATTAAATAATGAATATAATGGAAACAAGATCTACAATCTACGTGTCCTTCGAAAATGTTCTTTAAATTGTTTTAAATATTTATTATTTATTACCTATTACTTATTAGCTTTAGGTATAAACTATACAAACACTATCTATTTCTTAATAATTTATGAATAAATCTACCGATATTCGTGAACGTGTTTTAGACACCAACCTTGATAGTTGTTGCTTAGAGGACTAGTAGAGACCTTAATTACTCAGGTATTACATAAACGTATTTTATAGAAATTAATAATTAGCTATGATCTTACTTAAATTAATGTAAATAGTTAAACTGTGTAAAAAAAAAAAAAGATTACAATTTTACAATTGTATTATTTAGAAAATGTATAAAATGAAAGTAAACTAGGCTCTGTACCTACACTGTACGTACATACAAATGATTTTTGTATTTGGTGGATTGTTCGTGTACTACTTTCTAATACATCTATCTAGATGATACTATATAAATTATTATTATATTTAATTTTACTATGGAAAATTATTTTAAAAATAAAGAATATTATAATATGGTTTATTTCTTATATGTCTAATCATATGTATATTTTAATAAAAATATTTTTTGATAAAGACATACTAACAAATTGATAACACGTAATTTTATTACTTTTGTTTTAATATTTTACAAGAGAAATCAATTTAATTATAAGTATATAACTATTAAAATATTAATCTATATTTACAATACATTGTCAAGTTTTAATCATCTGAAAAAAATTATATCTTATAAATAAATCATTATAATGAATTAATGTACCTAATTCGGGCGGCTTTCATTTAAACGAATAACCCAAAATAACATATCGTTTGGGCGAAATTTACACAGATCCCTAATTTATCTAATACATCGTTTGGGCGAGCCAAGTTATTAAAAAAAAAATAATTGTTATGTATAATATTATTCCTAAAAAATCATTTATAAAATTATAACTAATGTCTGATAGTCACAATATTATATTTAGTCATCATATTGATTATAATTTATAGACTATATAATATACGTTTTCCTTCCCATTTATAGAGACTTAGGACTCTCAGTCAATTCTAACTGGTATGGTTAAAAATGTTAAAAATATTGAGCTTAATGTATATTTTTGCATATTTAATATGATCGTATTTATTATATATGTTATATATAATATTATGTTACTTCCCTATTATTCAATAATTTATAAATTCGCCTAAACGATCGGTTAATTTCTCGCCCAAATAATGCAGCTCTACTCAGGTAAATTTTGGGTTATTCTCCCAAATTAATGACGCCCCCTAATTCAATGCTGTTAAAATGTTAATTGTTTTTATTTTATTATTTAATATTTTCTGTTTATGCTTATTACTATTTAGTATGTTCTTTAATAAGTGAGGAAAACTTGATTGTATTTTTGTCTTCACAGACTTCTTCCCTCAGGCTCATAAATTATTTCTTATTATAAAACTAGGTAGGTAGGTAGTTAGTGTAGTAGTAGTGTACATACTTTTGGGATTGGTACTTGTTTGTGTATACCTATTGTTAGATATCAATTGTTGTGAGTAATTTTAAACTGTGTTCTCAATTGTTGAGGCCTACCTATATTCTGAAAAATAGGTCGGTAAAAAATGTAGCCAATAGTTTTTTGGGTTCTAGCCATGTAATGATATTATAAAAACACAAATTAGTTTCATAGTGTTAAAATCTCTATAATCAAGTACTATAATCTATTTCTGGTACTAGAAATCTGGCAAAGTAAATATTTTATGACATTTTGGTTGTATAGAATAGGTACATAAGTACATTAACTTATACTTAACCACAAAAACTAAAGCTTTAAATGTTAGGTTTAAACTATTGTTTTTAATAAATATAAATAGTTAAAAGAATTCTTGTAACTGCTTAGTTCTAAATGTATTTATATACTCTTAATCAATATGGTTAGGTGTACTTTACAAATTATAAATTTCTTATAGGCCCAATTATTCACAGTTTTTAATTTAAAATCATAAAAAAGTATTTGAAAAATCAAATATTATTTTCAGTGATTTTTAGAAACTGAGTTTAAAAAAAAATTAAAAATTATTTTAAGTAGGTATTTTTGCAGATTTTGGCTATTAAAACTATAGTATTTTACACAAGCATATTATACATTTGTGTCAAATATTTTAATATTATGAGACAAATAACTATGTTGTAATATTATAACATTTTAGTTTTATATAAAATACAATCAAATTATTAAAGAGTTGTCATGGTTATGCTATAACCATAAAAATAAAAATGTAGAGGAAGTGACATGACGCACCTGTTAATAACCAAATGGGATTGTTCACTTGTATAGGCACAATGTTTGCAGACAGTGTAGTTCCTGCTGGCCCCTCTGTGTTCTATATAAATATGTATTATTCTATCAAAAAAAAAAAAAAAAAAAATACACGATTCTACCTGCTCAACAATTTTATTCTAGTTCATTATTAAACAAATGATTCAAAGCATAATCTCACAATAAATATAATTATTCAAGCATACAATACAAAGAATTATTATTTCCCCCAATTGTGGGTAGTAAATGAACTAAAAAGATTTAACACACATATAAAAGGTTTAAAAATATTTAGAACTTTTAGAATGAAGTTATATACACATATTTTGTAAATTTAGTGTTTTTTTTTTTATGGAAATTAGAAGCACTTAATGATGTTTTGTATTTTTAATTTTCTATATTCTAATTATGAATTTTACATATTTAACTTAATTATTTACTATTATATATTAAGCTACATAATAGTATACAGAGTGTTTAAAATAAACTAACTTATTGAAAAATATAGGTTATACAATCTAAATATAATAAATATTCATAAGACACATATTATTATAATATCATATACTTGTGTATGTTATGGAATATGGATATTAATTTTTAATTTAATATTGTTTTACTAATTATTATATTTATTTATGTTTTAGGCTCCAGGAGAAAGCAAGATACCTGTGCTTCATTCTAACCAACTAAGATCTCGATTTTCTAATATTTCAAGTAAAGTCCGTTCGCATCTTGATGGTTCCTATCGAACTTCATCTCCATCAATGCTGTTTGGACTTTTTAGCAATACTGAAAATAAAGTACATCCACCCACTCGTCCTACATCGCTTTTTAAATCAACTAGTCGTACCACAGTATCTGAAAAAGATGTTGGAAGTTATGTTGAATTAACTAGGCATTCAAGAACTGGCATTCTTAGGTATTTTGGTAAAACTGTTTTGGGTCCTGGTGATTGGTGTGGAGTAGAAGTTGAAAGTGGACACGGAGTTTGTGATGGATCTATATGCGGAGTAAGATATTTTTCTTGTCGTGATCAATGTGCATTGTTTGTCTTGGCACATTTGGTACGTATATCCGAATGTCAAAATGTTATTGATGACAAAACAGAAACTGAAGTCATTCCTGATGATGGCTGTGCATCTAATTTGGAAAATTGGGATTTAGATATTCTTAAAACAGAATTCCCATTTGAATGTACTGACAGTCTTGGTATATTGTCACCAGATCAAATGGTTGAATTTAGAGGAGATGAGGCAAATTATGAAGTTCCTGGTCTTCTTTTTAAAATGTCACCTCATCAATTAACAGAAGTATGTGTATTAATTTTATATATTAATTGAAAACATTAAGTTAATAATTATATTTGTTGTTATGTTTCAGTGTATTTCTGATGGGGATGTAACAATGAATGATTTAGAAACAATATCTATGCCTAAAGATGACGATTTGGTTTCTCCAGTTCTGTCTTCAGATCCCTCTAATCATACAGTGTCTGAACATGATAGTGCAAGTGCTTATCCAAAACGCTCAACTGTTTCTTTTGGACATGTTTTTTATGATAATTTTACAATTGATCGGACTCCATCCTTAGAAGATTTACCCATGGATGATTTTTCATCAAAAACAACTACTGATGTGGTTCCAGTCCCTAATATTCCTACAATAAACGCAGTTGTTACAAGCATAACCAGTGTTAGTAGTCTTGATACTGGTTATCAAGGAGATTGTGAAACTAGTCGTCCTACTAGTCGTGGAGCTATGGTTAAACGCCTTGGACCAACTGAACCAATGACAGACTCAGATTTTTTTACTGAGAGTGAAGCAGAAGATCATTGTCATCGTAAAGCTATAGTTATTGATGGTACACTATACTCTGGGGATAATATTAAACCAGAAACTCAACCAGATAATCACAACAATCCTGGTCCCACTATTGAAGAAATGGACTCAAGTGGTGTTTATTCTGATTTTGATAGAATATTTGAGGAGCCACCTACACTTAAAGATAGTTCAGAACCAGTTTCTTCAAACAATTCAACTTCTCCGTCATCTGTTAACAGCCAACAAATCCATATAGTTGCCATTGATCAACCATCTAGTTCAACAATACCAGAATGCACAGAAGATGCATCAAGTCCTGCTAGTAAACGTTATAAACGACCCACACCAGTGAAACCTAAAACTTTGGAAGTACGACAGGATCAGGAAAACAGAGCTCCGAGAACTAGAAAACCAGCAGGTCGTTGGGATGCTGTAATGAATAAGATAGAAAAAAGTAAAACTGATCAGAAGAGCCGTATTAATCGGTTGAAAGATGTCAAAAGCAAGATTAATTCTATTAATCCATTGACGATACCTTATACTAACAGGTTGAAAGAATCTCCCACAAATAGTGAACCATTGCCTGTCAGATCTCACAGAGAAAATACACCTTTGAAAGCTAAAAGGTGATTAGTTGTATCTACCATCCACCTATATAATATTTGATAATTAATCAATTTACCTAATATTTAATTATTTTTCTAGCCGTAGAACTAGAGCTCGTGGTGGATCAGAATCCAATTTACCAATGTCAGACCAAAAACCTAATTCTTCTAGACAAAGATGTATTCCTAAGAGTTCTCAAAACAGTTCTAGAGATAGTTCTTTCAGTGATCTTAGTGGAGAAACCAAAATTACATTGAAACAAGCAACATCACATCCTTCTTTAGCCAGTAAGTAATACATATTATAAATTTATTCGATAAAAAAAAATGTATTAATTTAATATATAGCATTTAACAGAAATAACTGACAAATATAATTAATTAACTGCATAATAATTTTTTTTTTATGTTTAAAAAAAATGTTATATTCTTAGTTAGTTATATTTATCAGTTCATTTTGTTTCATTTTATATCATGTTAAAAAAATTGATAAACTATTGAAAAAAAAAATACACGTAAAGAGGAATAATTTAATATATGTTAAAAATTATCTTTTATTTAAATAATTTACAAATATATTTAATAGATTTATCAACATGGTAGGCCTTGTTAATATTTTTAAAAATAATCACTTAACTATATTTAGTTAAAATAATTTAAATAATTTATATTATTATATTACAGAAAAAAGTTTATTATTAGTCTAACGTAACCTTGGTCTCTTGATAAAATTATTATTGTTCCTAATAATGTTAATAACTTTTATGTGCTTATTATAATCTTATAGAAAGTACATAATATAATATTAGCTTTAACAAAATAATTGTTACAAAAATAATATATTTTATTTTATATTAACATAACAATACATATTATTACTGTAATATATTAATTAATACTTATGATAAATCATTGTTTAAAAATAAATATGTCAAATAGCTAAACAAAAATATAATTTAATTTATGGTATAGTTCGTTTTAAATTGAAAAATTACAACAGTCAAAGACCGAAGTATTAAATATTTTATATTAATAGTTAGCTGTCTATATGGCATTATTATATATTATTATTATTTATTATGATATAGATAATGGCAAATTTGTTTTCATATTATGTGTATATATTTTTTCTACAATGACTACTAAGTACTAAAAATTAATAACATTTTGATAAGAAATAAAATAATAAATTATAATATCATGTATTACGTTAAAAAAAAGTATGAAAATAAATGTAAAAGGGAAGAAATAAACTTTCATTGCTTATGACTGAAAAATATATGCATGAATAGAATAGAAACTAGAAAGTGACATAAAAGTAACAGTTGTGAGTAAAGGTGAGATGTCTGAATCGAGTCCTATGAAGATTTACGACAAGGGTTGCTGACCTACTATAATATAGTCGGGAGTGAATGGCGAAGAAAAGGAAGGTATATTATTACAAAGAAATACGCCTGTTGTATAGGCAATCTATGATACTTTTATTAACTAATTGTAGTATCATTTGAACATAGTGAAAATTAACGTATATTATAAAATATTTTATTAATATTTTCCATATTTTTTGTTTGATTTGATTACAACGAAAAAAATATATATATATATATATATTAATTATGTTATACTGTGAAGAGAAATGTATCATTTTTATCATTTATATGCATAAGTCAGTATTGTAAAAGAATTTTGTATTCAAATAAATGAGTATTAAAGTATTCATTATATGTATTAGAATACTTTTAGAATATAAATTTTTACTCTTCTAATTTTTATCAGTTTTTAAATGATTGAAATTAACATTAGATAATATACATATAATAATTAATAATTAATAATTAATAATACTTCAATATAATACATTATTCTAATTGTATTTCATCAATACATAATAATAGATGTATATGTTACGTTGAATTTATGAAATTGCTGATTATATGTACGCGTCCTCATTGGCATTATCCGGTGTTAGACGAACCGCGATCTCTTCGACTGCGTTTTAATTTTCATCAGTGTCACTGTTACTAAAATCATCATCTGATAATATTTCCTCATCTAAAGCATAAATTAGGGGTTCGGAGCATATGGCTGGAGTGGAACAGTTTGGCTGCTACAAAGTACTGTTCCCTAATGACTGTAAACGTTCAACCAAATGAATGTTCTTTATAGGAACTTGTTCGATAAGGGTCAATTGGGACCGGACAAGGATATCGACGTTGTATCTGCCGTACGAATTACACATCAACAAAATGCTTATGTAGGAAAAATGATATGATTTGTAATTCGGCGTGCTATCCTGGTCGTAATTGCCAAAATGTATAGATATAAATATAATACCTAAAACACTTAATATAATTTTATAAATTTTGATTTATTTTTTTAATTTTTTTTTACACAGAATTACAATCAGATTTTATTATATTTTCAGTGTTTTATTTATATTGAATTATATTTTATAATTTTTTTAAGAAGGGTCTTGCCGATTTCACATTTTGACAACAGCATTGCTAATTTCATGAAATTGGCAATTTTTCTGCCAATTTCATGTAATCGGTAATTTCATAAATGCAGTGTAACATATACAAGGCAAAAACCACATGCAATATGGTCATAAGGGATACACCACATTAATGTTAAAGAATAATCGTATTAACATTATATGTCAATTAAATTTCGTTTTAAAAGAAATAATAATAATTTTTAATGGGCCCAGTTTTTAATAGAATAATTTATTTTATCACAAATTTGAAATTTAAAATTATTTTTGGAGCTCAAAAAATTATTTTTTAATGAATAAAAAAAAATTATTCAAACACACTTTTTTCCAAAAAGCTTAAATATAATATGTATAGTATATAATGTAAATGAAATATTTATTTTTCAATATTGTTTTTATTAAATTAATGTTTGGTAATTAAAATTTACTTAACACGAGAAAGTTTCTTAATGTATGAGAAAAATTAAAATGTCCATAATTATTTTCTCACTAATTAGTAATTACATGTTGAACTAGACTACAATATATTATATATATTATTTTTTTTTCATTAGATATTTCTTTTTTCATTGTATTTTTAATTTTTCTTTAGAAGAAAACAGGTAGGTAGGTACTTGTATAATATATATATATTTTTTGTATTTCACTATTGAATGATAAGGTATTCAATATTTTAAACTAGGTTTAAAGTGAGGTATATATAAAAAAATTTAATAATAATTGTGTGGTAAATGTTTTATTTCATTAAGTGAAAATAATTACACGGTGTCAAATTGATGTGGCCATTTCGTGAAATATTTTGGTATTTCATGAAGTTCAAATGATTATTATATATTATATGTAAATTATCATAATATCGATCTGATTGATAACATTTTAGCTCCGCACAAAATTTAATTTGATTTAAAAGTATTTATATTTTGGTGTTTATATTAAAGATTTAATATGATGTTTTGATGAAATGATAATGTACTTAATTGTTTATTTTATTTAAAAATACGATTCTCTGAACATTTGAATTTTTGATTCAATCAATTGCAATATTGTTTTTTTGTTAACTTCTAAGTACTTTTTCACCGCATTGTTAATATGTTATCAGTTATCACTATTTTCTTTTAATAAGAAAATTCCACCACAGTGAACCTTATGCAATACTGCATTAGAAAGTAAAATGCGGTTTTCATTTATGATGTTTTACTTAAAAGAAAATGTTTTTAGTTTCCGTCATTCAGTCTACTACCTATATCATATTTTATTAAAACTGCTTAATCACCAGTGCTTAATAAAGACGCAATCTCTACTATCCGTGTTAGGAGACTTTAGTATAAGTAGTGGAAATAATGCTCATTTTATAAGGAAACCGAGGCCAACTAGAGCGAAAATATAACTTATTCTTCTAATACATTTTTATTTAATTGGTAGTCTTTAAGATGATACGCATACTGCAAGGTATTTTTAGTATTTTCAACCGAGTGAAAACTCTTTTAATTGGAAATTATGGTCACCATTATTTTGAAGATTTATATTTAGGTTAGTTTTGATTGACTTAATTATATTTATTCTTGAAAAGTTTGTAACAAATAATTTACGATATGTATTATTTTTTACAGATAAAAATTGTAATCTGCGTTCACCATCAGTAAATGTTGTGATACCGTCGGTGCGCAAACATCTGACTGCGCCTTCAAAAGCAACTCCTCAAAACCGAAAATTAAACTCAGGTACACGTTTTAAAAATTTTCAAGTTTTTTAAATATATTATTTTTTGTGCGTATGTGTGTGTTGATTGAATGATATTACATTTTCATTATAAAATTCAGACGTCGCTAACTTTATTCGTGTTAATCAGCGTATTACTTTGATTAATAGTAATTGGTTTAAACGATTTATCATGTATTATCTAATTGATATGTATTTTACTTTTATTATATGGTATATACATCTGAAAATTTTATTATTCGAGAAAGCCATTTGATTTTCGACCTTTACACATTTTTGTGGTTTTTATAGTGTTCAGATATTGCATGAATACAAAAAAACTCATCATGTACAGAATAAACAGAATGGCATTAGTAGACTAATAACATGTAGACTGCAATGTATGTTATTTTTCTCTTAAATTATTTCGCAATGAAAAAAACAACTTGCAATTATTTTTAACCATAAACAACTACAGCAGTTTTAGAATACTCGATGCCAATGAGCGCATTGAACCATTGAAAATCAATGTCTAGAACTAGTTTTACTTGCGGAAGCCCTGTTTTCTGATATACCTAATACCTATGTTCATATATCGTATGTACTTCTATCTCTCTGATGTTGTCCTTTTCATGTTGGCATTATTATTAAATAAACCTTCTTTTAACACCGATGTTTGATATTTTATTACAGTCGAAATTTTTAGTTTTATATTATTTAAGACATATGCTTATCTTTTATATTATGTATGATACACGGAATTGTAGTATAAACTGAAGATATCTATATCAATATCACATCACAGCTATATCCTATGGGTGGGTTACTTGGATTTTTATACTAAAAATTAATTTGATCTAAAGAATGTTTAAACCATTGGTATTTGTCTAGTTTCGTATTAAATTACATTACATCACTACTAGTAGTTTAATCAAAAATTTAACTATGAACATTGAAATTATTACATATAAGTTGGGTAAATATATATTTTTTGTTATTTTATTACTTGATTTTAATATTTAAAAAATAATATTTAGTTATTGGCACTTATATACTTATATACAGTTATAGCCTTTGTATCGGTCTGCTTTGTAACGTTTAACGATATTTTTATTGGGACATAATAATATATGCTTTATTTATTTTATCGTATTTTTTGATGACAAACGCGATAACATTATAGACATGTAGATCAGTTGATAGATTTCTTAATGAAGTCACGTGGCTTGATCTTAAATGTACCAGACTGTTTGTGTATTTAAAAGTAGTGGAGGTCTGTGGGAGTCATTCATCGTGACGTCGAAACACGTGCACGTTACTTGTTTATTTTGTAATTATTTCGGATATAAGCTCAGGTATAAAATGCGTAGATATATCATTATTCATTATAATATTAATCGTTATAAAATATCGATGTAGTAGCAATCCGATTATGTCTTACGCGGTCGAAATGTACGCACGTGTGTTTGTCAGTAGTAATGTTTTATGCGAATCGTATGGGTCAAAATTAAAATATAGTAAACAAAAAAATTTTAGCCATCACTGTGTGGGTGACTGGAATGGTTGCCAACGACGATTCAGCATTCGAAGGTCGGGTACTATAGCGAAGTCGTACCGTAGCGGAAGTTCTCTTCGAGATGCCACTACTATTAGTTTTAATCGGCCGGTTTTCGTGAGAGCTCGTACGCGTGTACGTGTACCGGTGTGTTATCAATAACATCGCTGTCTTATTCAGATTCGTATTTACGCAGTTGTAGTGCAAATTTTTACGTTGTTAATGTTATATAATAATTTATATTCATGGATTACTTGTTGGTAAGGTAAAATTTCAATAGATAGATAGATTTCCGTCAGAAACTTTTAGGAATTCATTGACCTTATTGACAAGTTTGCTTTTTTTATTACACTATAAATATGTTATATGCATAAGTTTTGTATTGTTTAATACAATAGTATAATGTTTACCAAGTCACTGAGATTTTAAGCATGTTAAAATAATTAGTAAATATATAACTATCATCTTTCAATATCAATATTAACTGTGATAATAATGCTAGGCAGTAGTGTTAATAAAATATAAATTTAATCTAATGTTTATTTTATAATTATATCAATTTTTAAAATGTGTTTTTATTGAAAGTGATAAAAATTGAGTATGAAATAAAATCAATACTAATAATTCAATTACAATATAAATCATAACAATGTATAATCTTTTTTGGACTCTAGATAAAAAGCTATAAAATTGTTTTCGTCCATCACAAATTAAAATAATTATGATTTAATTGAAAATTAATAATTCCGTTTTTATGTGTGTAAGTAATCGATATTATATTCTTTCCGTTGTTGTTATAACATTGGGTACGCGAATAGTAGTGTGTAGATGCTTGCATTTTTAAGGTCAATTTCAGATCTTTTTCTCTTCCTCAGCAATTAAAAATTATTTATTGTTAATTAAAACGTTTCGATTTTTATTTTTTTGATTAATGTACCTGATACTGTTTAATAGTTATTGTAATCTTTCGTTAACAGTGTAAATATAAAAACGTATTGCAGATACCACTTCTTATACACGTCACAAATTTCATTAAATCACCTGTAGACCGGACCAAGTGGCCTTTCTCTGCATAATATAGCGTATACAATACACATGCTTTCACCTACTTAGAATATTTTACACAAACTTCTGGACCAAAAACCTGTATGTAAAACAGTAATATCGAAAAGTTTTTAAACGTTTTAAGTTTTTCGCATTATTATATTCTATAATATAATACACCTATCTAGATAATATTCAGATTTTTATTATGGACTGTTATAATATTATATCGCCATTTTTGCTGCATTATTGTGAGCCCCAGGACGTAGGTAATTACAACGGTGTATCACGATCGTGGGTCAATGATTCCTAATGTGGTTTCAGACGTGAATAGTATTTTTTCATATTCTAGTATTCCATGCATAATTCACATATGCACCCGTCGTACATAATGTTTCGATTAAATAATGGCTTGAGAAAAAAACCGACAAATTCGCGATTTGGAAATTAATCGATTTGCGCAATCCGATTGAATATGATTTGCTCTTATGGCCGTGATCGATCCAACCGATGAAGGAGAGACCGGACGTGGCTTGATTAAATATACAATTTGGTTATTCGATTAGTATTATCCACACAATTATGGTAGGCACTTTGGGCAAGTTGACGGCCCTATTTCACAGTAATTCTAACTCAAAATCATCTAATCGACGACCTAGTGTGATATCAACGCCACCGCCAGTCGTACTCGCCGACAAAGCGGATGTGCCACACTTGCAGAGATGGTCGTCATTACGATTACACAGGCGTAAAGCTCGGCAACAGGGTAAGTAAATAATCTCTTATCCGCGAGTCTTAAAAAAAAAAAATCGCAGATCATGGCTTAAAAAATCCACATGCTTAAAAAATTTATATGTTTTAATGAATTTTGATTTTGAATAAGTATTTTTTTATTTTAAATAGTTGACATAATAATGTAATATAGTACTTAAATACGTTTACAAAGTACTGAATTTATTATAGTTATGTTCGAGAGTGCTGTTAATCCGAAATTATCTGCAGTTATATTGTGTAATGTTTTAAAAAGAAAACTTATAAATTATTTATATATAATATGTATACATTTGTTCTGGTCTGTGATTATTAAACGGATGCTTTCTTGATAATTCGCATAGTTTCGTTATTTTTCTTAATAAACACTTTTAGTTTTTGAATTAAATTTATTGCTTCTTCAATTTTTTATAAAATACGTATGTTTTCTAAAATCTTGTATCTCAATTTTGCGATTTCGTTTAAGTGCAATTAAACGAATAGAACGTTAAAACAAAATACTTTTTTTTTAGCGGGCTTGTTGCCAGAGGAGTGTATGGGTCGACAATTTAAAATTCGAGCTCATTCGTTTGAACAAGGAACTGGGCTAATCAACAGACCGTATCGATATAGATTATTGCTAAAAATACATCTTTGCATTTTGCAATGTTTGTATAAATTTATCGTATAGATTAAATTTTTATATTTTATTTAAAATAGGTACCTACTCTGTACCTATATATATTTTTGTTTTTTTATAGTGAAATTTTCTGTTTGATTTACTGCGTATAATATACTATTATATAATTAAATGGTTCCTAAATATTAATTTTTTGGCAACTATACTGATATTACTAAAATATACCAACAATTAAACTAAATAAAAAGCAGTGTTGTCCCTCTAATATTCTCAAGCGCGAGATAAACGTCGTATAAATATGTGTTATTTATATTATCATACTTATACATATCAATAAAGTTTGTAAATAATTTCTTATTTGAGAGTTTTCCAAAAAAAAAAAAAAAAAAAATGATATTTTAACATTATTTTATAAATTAGTATAATATACACTTTAAGACTTAAGTTTTTTGGAATTGATAATTCAGTGTTTGGTACACTTATCAAATTATATTTATAAAGAATTCTGTTTATATTATGTTTTATTAAATTTCAATCAAAAATGTGATCAATTATTCAAGTTTAAAAAATAATTAGGTACATAAAATTGTGTAGTCATAGTAGGTATATGAAATTGTGTAGCCGTAGTATAGGTACATGTTTATACAGATACACGGGTTATTAATTTATTTTAATTAGGTAATTTTGACTATACTATTGTTTAATTAAATGTTTTTTTTTTTTTTTTTTTTTTAATAAATAAAGTTAAGTACGATGTAAATGAAAAATTTGAATATTGATGAGAATGGGGCATACTATGAATCCCTTGTTTTTAAATAAAAAAAATTCAGTAAAATATTTTAATTTTTCTGGATAACGCTTGTCAGCAATTCTTTGATGACGATCAAATATTATTAGTACACATTATAATAATTAATCTAGTTGTATGATTTTAATACATTTTAGTCTAAGCAGTCATTGTAATTAATTATTCGTCACGTTTTGACATAATTATAATTATTGTGTTATATTTTGACATTAGAACGATATGTGTA